TCTGATGTGTTACAAATCAGATTTATTATGCCTTTTTTCCCTTTTGCAAGGCTTTCTTAAGATTTTAATGTGTCTTGACATTTAACCAGACGGAGAGTGTGTTCTTTTCTTACTTCCTGATTTGGACATGACTTTAGTGCTTTGAATGATGTTGTCTTTCTTTTAGAATACTGCTCTTTTACCAAGGTGCTTAACCGTGATGAGATTGCCTGGTCTACTCAAAGTGTGGACGGATGGGTAGTTCTGAATTTCCAGTAGGGTATCTTTAAATAGTCTCTATGGTACTGGAAAACATTTTAACTTTTCAGTTAACACTTTTAGTTTATGCATTGGTGTTACAATATTCTGCTATTTTCTGTCGTTTGTGTCTCCAAGTTTCTGATAGGCTGTTATACCAAATCTTGCTAAAATCCCAGTTCTTGGGATTTGTTTTGTTTTGTTTAAGTGCTAATATTTGTTTAGAAGCTTATATGTTTGGCTTGGCCTCGCATATATATATTGGCCTAATATTTCTGTGCCTTGTTTAAATAATCTGGTTTTCAGATTCCACTTCAGCATTTCTTACTTGAATTTTGTCCACTGCTTCTATCCAAAGATTTTACTTGATGGTACAAAATCTGCATTGCTTCACCTAAGGGATCTATCAGCTTAAACCATCTGCTTCATTAAGCCATAATTATCAGTATGAATATATATTGTCTGTCTCACTTATGTGTGCTTATTTTTTTATACTTTCTCAAAAAAGTGTGTGACCATATAAAATTAGCATACACTGTATGTTAATATGGCATTAACCTAAGCATTACTGTTTGCTGTTCATTACTTGACTTTATTTTTTACCATGCAGCATGAGGTTAAAATGTTTACCTGCAAGTTTCATCTAGTACAGTATAATAAACTGGTTTGTGTGCCTGGGTTTCTAGGTATGTCTTCTATAGCAATTGCAGAATTTGCAATTTCATAATTGTTATAACTGGCTACTAATTTTTTTTTTTTTTTCCCAGAAAAAGATCTGTTGATTTGTTGGGTATGTGTGATGAATCATTCAGTTTTCAAGTTCAGCTTTCATTTGTCTTGTGTCTAGTCATCTTCCAATGTTGCACTAGCAAATTTATACAAAGCAGACTATTTTGAGGAGCTATTCGTGCAGATCTGTTTTACACAGAAAATGCAGCAGTGCTTCACATAATAGCATTTGTCCTGTTGTGTATAGAAGTCTACACTCTGTTGTTTCAGATCTACTTGAATTATTGACCCTGTCGGCTAAGGTTTTTGATGTTATAAACTAAACACCATTGCAGATAAACCACATCTGCTTTTTGCATTGGCATATTAAAACTTGTAGTTGTTAAGCATTAATGCATGCAAAGTTGTTGGGGTTTGGTGTGTCATAGCCCTGCATCGCACCCCAAACCTCTGGGAAATAACTCCAAGAATGGAGTTGTTCTTAGTAGCACAGCTAAACGATCTCATCCTGAAGTCTTTTATTAGACTTTTAGCTCTTTCAAGGAAGTCTTAATGAGCAATGTTCCTAAATAGGACTATAGAAATTTTACTTGGAATTCATATATTGTTTAGTAGAATGGAGTAAAATACAATTGTGGTTATTTTGAACAATCTCTGGTGTTGACAATAGATGACATACTGGCCATTTACTGTTTTGTTGTTTGGGGTTTTTTTAATTTTAATTTTAATTTTTTATTTTTCTGTAGAATTAAACTTAGCCAAATTACTCTTTTGGGCATGAGTGGGAAACAAGAATGCACAAATAAGAATTTGAAGTAAATGTTTTACGGATAAAATTGCAAAATCTTCTACTCAGAATCAAACCCAAGTATTTTTCACGTGTTCCTTTATTTTTGCAAAGAACCAGCAACAGGAACATTGGGGCATTTTTTTATGCCTCATAAAGTAAGACTTTCTGAGTAGTGCATGGATCAAAGCAGAGAAATTAACTTGTTTATTATAAAATTACTCCCTAAATTACTTTATATCCAGTGATGAAGCCCACATTTTGCAGTGCATTTTTTTCAGTTTCTTTTCTCTAGAACATTTTGCTATCAGACTGGGGTTCTTTAATTTATCTACATCATGCTTTTATGATTTAATGCCAATGTTGTTATGCAGTCATCAGCTTTTATCATCTTAAGAGGCTATAGACTGTGATGTCTCTGAAATGTTCAGCACTTCAAATATTCCTAATAAATTTTTAACAAGATGCTATTCTTCTATGCCTTGCCTTTCAAATCTGGCACATTGTTTTTTGTTATTTGGCTAGTTGTTTTGGCTTACCTTTGTGAGTATGGAGAAAATACTCCATTGTACATTTAAATCACATTACACAGTATATTATAATACCAGGTAGGAAAAGACACTGCAAACATGACAGAGAAATACTTCTAAATGACTGTCTTGTTTTATTTCATAGTCATAATAACATCTTGTTCTGAAGTACCTTTCTCTGAGTCTAGACATAGGGGTCTAGTACCCTAGTATCTCATAAAGTCATTACAGGGGTCTCTGCTCTAAAGATTTTAAATCACAAGTAACTTATGAAGTAGGTTGTTTGAAAAATATTAATGTAGAAAAAAAAGAGCACTTTATTTTATGATAAGTGATGTGTATAGAACGCTCTGTAAGTTGGTTAAAGTAATTTCTGTGGCAGTTCTTATGCTTTCCAATTCAGATTCCTGTCTTTTGACTGAGGTAAGTGTGACCATGCCAGTCATATTATTGGTTGGCCAGCAATAAAAGATATTGCCCTTTTTTTTGCAAAAACAATTGCGTGTCAACTGTGTAAACTCTCCCCTATAGCGTATGTGCTCCTATTAGGAGAAAAGGACAGTTCTCTTACTAGATCTGTCTGGTAATTAGTGTTTTTATAATAATAAAATACACGTCTTCCTTCTCAGTATTAGCACTCTTTACAAACAAGGGTCATCTTCTCTTCCCTTGAAAAAGTGAGAGCATCCCAACTTTCAGATAAGTAGTTTTGTTAAAATTGCCTCTGGAGAGTCAAGCAGACCTTTGAGTAGTAGTACCTTTGTGATCCGAGCAGTACCTGTTCAGTGGCAGATGCACAGTTAACTACAAAAATACTTTTGTATCGGATGTATAGGATGGAGACACAGCTGTATAATGAAGAGACCACACATTTATATTGACCAGAATAGGTTTGATAACTGATGGTGTGAGGTGTATTGTATTGCTTTGGACTTGCACCCATCTGTGCCAAGTTGAAGAATGTGAAGTAAGTTTTTAAAATGTCTTTGTAGTTTTGCTAACCCAAACCACGTGATTACTCTTCCCAACCCTGTTTTTTTGTCTTGCATCTGCCACAGTCATCAATTCTGTTTGGATTCTTAAAAAATTTCTCTAATCATATTTTATTTCTTGATCTCAATTTGAACAAGTAAGTTGTACGAAACAAATTATTATTATTTTTTTTAATGTATAATTGGGGAGGGGGGGTGGGGGCGGGCTAGGATTATCATAGAACCATAGAATGGTTTGGGTTGGAAGGGACCTTTAAAGGCCATCTAGTCCAACCCCCTGCAATAAACAGGAACACCTTCAGGTTCATCAGAGCCCTGTTCAACCTGACCTTGAATGTTTCCAGGTATGGGGCATCTACAACTTCTCTTGGCAGCCTGTTCCAGTGCCTCACCACCCTCATCATAAAGGATTTATTCCTTACACCTAGTCTGAATCTACCCTCTTTCAGTTTAAAACCATCACCCCTTGTCCTATTGCTGCAGGCCTATGAAAAGTCTGTCCCAATCTTTCTTAGAAGCCCCCTTTAAGTATTGGAAGGCTGCAATATGGTCTTTCCAGAGCCTTCTCTTCTCCAGGCTGAACAACCCAAATGCTCTCAGCCTTCCTTGATAGAGGTACTCCATCCTTCTGATCATTTTTGTGGCCCTCCTCTGTAGCCGCTCCAACAGGTCCATGTAATTGTTCTTATGAATTAGAGATTCATCTAATTCTGCTTTGCACTGATATTTTCACACTGCATAATTTTTTACAGAAATGAGATGTCGTATTTCAAGCTATTATATATGTCTTTTTTGATCTGGTGAGACTCAGTAATCATATGTAGTGCTTCATGGGGAATCAGAAGCTCGGATCTACATAGCTTTTAATTAATTTAAAATCATTAATATTTATGAAGGGGAAAGATGAGATTTGTTTTAAAACAGTGAAGTAACTTAAGTCTTGCTTTCTACACAGTTTATGTGCATAATTAACTTAAATGGTGTTTGACACTTGCTGCCCACCTCTTCCAGTCAGTTACCAACTTCTAACTATCTATCTGTTTGGAGAAGAATACAGCAGACAAAAAAATACATAGCAAGCTTTTGGAATTTGTTAGGGATAAATTTTTCATAGATACCTAAAATACAGAAAGCAAAACACCTCAGGATGTGTTACATTTGAACCTCGTAAGTAGGGAACAACTGATTGAAAATGTGAAACAGAAAGCATGGTAATCTTGATTGTGAAATAATGGAGGCCACAATTCTCAAGAAAGTGAAAAGCAAAACAAAGAAAATTAACTTAAATGTAACAGACATCAGCAAATTCAGAGAGTGTGCAGAGAAAATGCTTTAGACAGTTAGTCCAAGCGAAGAGTTTACAAGTTTGTTAAAAGGTCTCTGAGGACACTGCAATGGATTTTGCTGTTGTAGAAGGTGGCTAGGGAAGAGGGTAAGAAACTGAACTGGCTAAATCAGGATCTTCCCAGTGGAAGAAAACAGTGGTTTGAAAACATGGAAGAAAGCTCAGACAAAGTAGATGGTAGCTGAAAGTATTAGGCATGGCTGGTTGGTTGTGTTTAACAAAACAACAACCAAAAAAAAAAACAACCCCAAAACCAAGCGTGTGGACAAAATGTGAAAAACTATATTTAAACTATAAGCTACCGAGACTAGTAAGGCTGTGGTAAATCTGTGATCAAGGCAAAATACTGGTCTGCTTCTGAGGAAGGAGAATCACAGAATGTCAGGGGTTGGAAGGGACCTTGAAAGATCATCCAGTCCAACCCCCCTGCCAGAGCAGGACCACCCAGAGCAGGTCACACAGGAACGTATCCAGGCAGGTTTTGAATGTCTCCAGAGAAGGAGACTCCACAGCCTCTCTGGGCAGCCTGTTCCAGTGCTCTGCCACCCTCACAGTGAAAAAGTTTTTCCTTATGTTAATGTGGAATTTAATATTTTGCTTCAGTTTGCATTGCACAGGTTGGCTATGCTCGCATGGTTACTACAGCCATGTACTTTGGCAAAGGTTGAGAACTCAAGACACAGTATTGAAAAGGATTGGATAAAATATAGGTGGATTTTTTCTCAGTGGCTGGGCAATTGTAGTGGTGATGGGTTTTGTTTTGTTTGTGGGGTGTTGGTTTTGGGTATGGGGGGCGTGGGGGTGGTGCATTTGTGGGATTTTCGTAGTGCCTTGCAGACATCTGGCTAAGCATCATTTATGGCATTAATTCTGGGGAGGGATTTTGTTCGAGATACGCTTTGTGAGTAGAGAACATCCTGGAGGATGAGGAAAAGGTATTAAGTGCTCCTTGCCTAAAAAGAAAGGTGGGGAGAGGGGAGTAGGATACCCTGGAAATGAAAGGTTAAAAGCTTAACTTCAGTTGGAAATTTGTTTGAACAAATCATACTGCTTCAAATGAGAAAATAAAGACAGAAGTTAATATTACGGATTTGTGCAGAAGAAATGTGAAACTTCTTTTTCTAAGTTATACACTTGAGGGAGAAGTAGCAGATGTCAAATCTTGTCTTAGCATCATGGACTTTGGAAAAGGGACCTTTGGAATTCTATGATTCTGTGACCTTTGGAGATCAACATGAAAAATAGCTGGATAAGCACTTCCTCAGGTGAGGATCTAGGGCTTCTACTGGGTTGCAAGTTGGTCATGAGTCAATGTTTTACTTTGCAAAAAAGGAAAATGCTGTATGAGGACAGAGCAACAAAAGTACTATGCACATGAAGTAACTTTTCTGTTCTGCTGTGTGATGGTGAAGCCTCAGCTCCAGTTTGGGTCCTTAAAAGTAGGAGGAGGATGTGGACTAATTAATGAGTTTTCATAAAACTAACAGGAGGGGAAAGAACGCTTAAAAGATATTTCACTTACAGAAAGACAGGGAAATACTGTACTAAGCTTGAACCTACTTTGAGATCAAAGTCAAAATGTAATTAGGAAAGAGGCCATCCCGTAGTGTATTGCTCCAAAGAAATTGTAATAGACCTGATTTTCTCTTTTTTTTTTTTTTTTAACATAGAACATTAGAATCACAGGCTGAGGTTCTGCATGCCACAGTGCAAGCTTTGGTGAGTTAATTTCTGGCAACATTGTGAAATAACTGCTTTGTAGCAAAGTGTTTCAGAGACTGTGCTTTAGATTGAAACACCTACTAAAGTTTCTTTCATTGTGGATATTTCCAAGGAGAAACAAGTATTTTTTAATTTTCTTTTTCTTTTTTTTTTTTTTTTTAATGTGGCAGTTGCATTATTTGATAATTCTAAAGAGTTTGACGATGTTATTTGGAATATGCTGCAAATGGCCTTGAAATACATGCTGAGTGCAGTTCATGTGCCTTAATCTGTTTCAGGTCTTAGTTTCAGATGTCCGTGGGTCCCCTCTCCTTTTTTCTGAAGCAAGTTCATGTTGCCCACACCCTGAAGAATAGACTTCTCTTGTAGGGGACGTATAATCCTTGAACTACTTTTTTGAAATATGTGGGACCATAGGTGAAACTGGATTCTTTATCAGTTATTTATCATGTAGATCAATTGGTCTCTAATGTGATTTCAGATGCCTCTAACCTTGCTTATGGCAGAACTCGTAAGACTGTTAATGAGGGGTGTGTAATAGCCCTTACTATTCCACTGTTTGCTTCCCTTTGCTCTTGTCTTGGAGCGCAAGCGCCCTGCGTGAGGTACAGAGCAGATATGTATTTCTTTTTGAGTTACACAAACACAAGAATTATCACATGCTAGATCAACAAACTTGTAATAACTTCATAAATGTTTACACAAAAACTGTCAAACTGCTTCAGATGTCATGAATTAAAGCAGTTTGGGCTCGCGCACAGGTAAATAAAATTTACACGAGTGACTGTTCATTAGTACGATTTCCTGCAGGTCCTTTACATGTAATATAAATAGTGGGTTGGTCTTGGCAAAGTAACATGAGAAAAACCTGTGGGGCTAGTGTGTCTGAATCTGTTAAGACATTCAGAATTCATTTTTTTGCTTTCTGTGCTTGTACTACAACATGTATATTAAAAATACACAAGACAGATACACAATGTCAGATCTAGGAAAACTCCATTAGTTCAAAATAATTAATTTGCATTTATTTAGCTAAATAAATAAATTATGTCTGCATTTTTGGTATTACATTAAATGTTGCCCACTGCGTATTAGCATAAACTAATGTAGACATATCAGTAGTATTACTTACCAGATGGTTTATCAGTTGAAGTCGGAATACTAGTAACTGCAGGCATGGTTGGTAAGGTAGGTGGCAGAACCTTTAGGTTTTGATCACTCTGAATCTCATTCGTAGATATCTGGTTAATAATGCGATTGTAAGTTGGAGGCTGGTACACTTTATTTGGTGGCTGTGGAGTTTGTGGCAGTGGCTTTATGGACGGCATTCTTTGACAGTGTTCTTCCAGTTGGGCAATTATTATTGACTGATTATTGGCAATTGACATCAAATGTTGGTACTTGTGCTCTAAGTCTTTGTATTTGTTTGCAAGCTGTAACATATCTGCAGTTTGGTTCAAAATCTTATTCTCAAGTTGAGAAAGTTCTAAGGCGTTGTCACGTTTTCGAATAATTTCATGTAGTAACTGCATATAGAGTTGTGTGACACGAGAATTCATATTTCTGCTTTCTTTTCTTAAGAGTTTGACTTCATTAACAATCCCACCATCCACCTCTACCAGTTGCTGGAGGGTTTCTATTTGTCTCTTTTGTTTAAGAAGTTCATTGTTAAGTAACTGTAATTCTTGTTTATTTACCCGGTTTTCAAGTAGAACTTCAGGCTCCTTAGAATTAACACAAATGGCACCTGTCACTCTCTGTTGAGGTACAATAAAGGTGTAAGTGCATTTGTCCTGCGTGTCACTGGAACGCTTATATCTGTTCATATAAATGAATTCTTGTTCTGTTTCCTCGTCATTGCCTTCAAATTCCTGTGTTTTGCTTGCAGTGGCTCCCACAACAGCTGCTAGCATTAAACAGATGAATCTTGTTGTCATCATGGTCCTCTCGTTCTGTCAAATAGTCTTCTGCAAAGAACTTTCTAAAAATCTGTTTTAAAATTAATTTAACCATAAGTAACAAATAAGAAATCAATCCAAACTTACCACTGACAATCTGTTCTAAACTTACAAAATATTACATAGCAACTAGTATGTCTGTACAAATGAGGTATTTTTCTTGTCCAGCATGAACTTATATTGGCTAAAGGGGACATCGTAGGGAATAGTTCTATCATTCTGTGGCCAGAACTGTAGTTGCTAGTTTAACTAAAGCCTGCCAAGAACCACAAGAAACTAAGTAATAAATACCAGGACTTGAGGAGTCCTTTTTTCCAGGCAAGTACCACAAAAGTTTCCAAGATTGGTGTTTTCATTTAAATATGAATTACATTTTCTTTTTTTTAAATTTCTTACAGTTACAAATACCTTTAAATGTAAACAGAATGTAAGTTAATATGTGCTGTTAAAAGTTCTACAAATATCAAGTAACTTATTCTCAGTATTTTATAACTGCGTGTATATTGCAGGAAATATAGCTTAGGTGAAATGTAATTTTACTTGAGTCAGCAGTATTGAACCTCATAGTTGAAATAAAATAAAAAAAGGAAAATCTTACTCTACATTAGTCCTTAATAATTATAAATTAAAAACTCTAGTGTCCAAATATAGGCAGTAAAATCTGTTGTTCTTCCAGACTAATAGAATTTACAATTAAAATATTTATTGTGACTCTCACTGGAGACATTGTCTTTACACTCATTTGTACACTTCATAATCTCTTCTTGGGAGGGAAAAAACACATGCAATGAGCATGGTGGACAAAGATGACCCCCAGCTACTAAAATTAGCTAGTATTGTTTATTGCCATACTGCAACAGTACCCTTTTGGTGAAATTACGCTGTTAATTCTCAGAGCAGACTCATATTCAAGGTGGAAATTTGAGGCTATCACAATCTCTTAAAAAAATAAGTCAATACCAGAACTTTATAGGCAACAGTTGTCTTGGAAACATGAGCTTAGCATTGTCACTGCTGCCAGGAATGCCCTTGTCACAAATCACTTTCCTACCAGCTGCTTGAACAGCACTTTTATATCATGAACAGCACTTTGATATCATGTGTTTCTAACGGCTTTTTGTTGCCGAATTTTAATAGGCATGTGTATATGTAACCTAGTTTTCTTAAATAGAATGGGGGGGGAAAATGCAGTATGGAGCTTTTTCAGTGTATAAAGCCTGCTTGATACTTTTTAAAACCATGGTGGTGTTACAATAATATTTTTCTTCGCTTGTAAAACATTTCACATGGAATAACCATTCAGTGTTTAAGTAACGGTTATCCTTACTGCTTGGTCATCTTTAGTGCAGTGCTGTTTTTTTAAATTACGTGAATCGATGATAGCAACAGCTGTGAGAACCTCTAATGAGTCCAGCTGAGTGCAGCTAACATGGGTAGCTAGAGGCTGGCAGACTTGATGTATGAGGAGCAGCAGAAAGAGCTAGGTTTGTTTAGCCTCCAGAAGAGACGGTGAAGGAGACATCTTACTGCTGTCTTCAACTACTTAACACATGTTTGTAGAGAAGATGGATTCTTTTTGGAAGTGCACAGTGAAAGTATAATGGTCAATGGATAAAAATTGCCTCAGGAAAAATTCATTTTGAGTTCTAGAAAAAAAAAAGAATTTCAGAGTGAGTGTGACCAAGGACTGTAGCAGTCTGCCAAAGAGGTGGTGGAATCTCCATTCCTGGAAATATGTAAAGTTTTGATTTAGGGAAGGCTCTGAGCAGCCTTATCTAACGTTGAAATTAGCTTTGCTTTGAAAGATGAAGGTGAGGTCCCATCCAATCTGATTTGTTCTGTGATTCTAAGCAGCTGCTGACTTTTTTTTTAGAGTTTCAGGATAATGACAGATATGCATGTTGAAGTAGTGATTCATACCGAGAAGAGATACAGGTGTCAGTCATTCACATTTTTCTGTTGTTTTGAAATAAACCACAGAAGTTTCTGTAAATGATTCAAACAAAAATGACCAGGACTTGATCCTTCTTAAAGTTTTTCAATAAACATTTTTGCCTCAGTTTCTTATTTGGAATAAACTAATTTTCATTTTGCAAACAGAAAGGAATTGTGCTTTACAGAACTTGTCAAGAGTCTTGAAAACTTGTCAGATAAAAGTTTGGAGTTTGACATGGTTTCTGTAAGTAAAGGAATGTTATTTGGAGCCCTAGAAAACAGGGAACATAAATTCACCCCAGACAGCTTTAACTTGCATAATCAGCATTTGCACAGCAGGTCACACTTGGAAACTCTGGCAGTTTTCCAGGCCTCATATTTCTGCACAGATGGACTGTTTTTGCAAATGTCTCTTGCATATAGGTGTACAATGGGTTTTATTTCACTGTTTGAAGTATCCCCACCCCCCCCAAAAAAAAACACCAACAAAACCTGTAATTATTGTGACTACTGAAAAGAAACTAATTTATTCCTCAGAGTTCACTTGTGTCTTTGTTCTAGCACCTCATGTCTTTAATTGAGCACAGGATTTGGGGTGTACGTTCTTTTCCAAGCTGAAGAAATACAGAGCAACATAAAATAGTTTGATTTTTATCCAATTTTTTTAAGAACTATTTAAGAAAAAAATGGTTCAAATGCTTTTTAATGTCTTCCTCCTCTTTTTGAGTAGGAGAACATTAGATTCTTAGGACATCAGAATTCCTTCCTGTGGGAGAGGAAGATCTTATTTATTTGATGTCTAGCGCACTACCTTTCAGTTTTCTTCTGTTGCACTTACACCAAGGAATTGCTTATATTCTTTGTACTTAACTAGTGCTGCTGCACTAGCTCTTCTGCAGTGGACTGGGAGGGAGCTGTATTACTGGGACCATATTTGTCCCCAGTGCAAAATTCCACTCAGGTAGCCGTAGACTTTTCAACCCCACCATTGCACAAAACTACATAATGTAAAAGCATGCTTGCAGGTTTCGTGCAAGTTTTCTTCATTACTGGAAACACAGCATGTCTGTCTTTCATCCTCTTGCACACAGACAAAACTTCAACAATCAAGCATACAACCAAAAAATGGGAGAAGTGAAAGAAGCACGCTTAAAAAGAAAGATCTCTGTCATTTTAATTAAAAATCAAACAGAACTTCTAATTAGAAAAAGAACGGAAGTTTGAAGTAATTTCATTTCTAGGTTCTGGCTGTTTAAGACTTATGTATTCTGGGACTTTTCATGGGAGTTGGGTTGGGACAAACTTACCCTAGTGCAGATGCACCTAAAATCAGTTTTGTGTATGTTTACCCTACTTGGCACTGCGTGTTACTTTATTCAGGAAAAATAGCTTTTTTTTCTGTTAGTCTTTTGCCAGTGTAACTGCATCCGTATGAAAACTTTTGGCGGCATTGTTCTGTGAGTTATAATGGCAGCATTTTTCACACTCCTAGCCAGCATAAGTGCTTCGTAGACCAAATGTTGGCCTACCTGTGTACATAACTGGAAGTAGGTAATAATAAGTTAGTAATAATAAGTTGGTTTGTTTGCTCATTCATTCTTTGCCCAACTGAGGATGTTCCCATGATCTGGTGAAAAAAGAGGAAATGCGCTTTCTGTGAGGGATATCAGATTTTTCAGCATTCAGTTGTTTTTTCCTGTCCCTTAAAGGGAGAAAGTAAATAAAATCTTTCTTCAGCTTTGCTTTGAAATATTTTTCTGTCCTGTACTCTACGGGACTTTTGGTTAGTCAAATTACATTACCTTTTGATTGTTACGAATACTTTGAAATTTAAATGTGATAGATGCGAGTATTTTACCATCTAAAACTATACAGGTGTTTCATATCCTATAGCTCAATCACTGTCATGATCCCAAAAAGATAAAGGTAAAAATATTTCTGCGTGCAAAGTATTGCTGTTTGGCAGATGTTTGCATTGGTTTTTTTAATCAACTTGCCTTAAGAAGAAGTATTAAAGGTAGCAATGTCAGCACTACGGCCTTTTTTTTTTTTAAGCTACTTAGAACAAAATATGCATTTCATTGTGGATAACGTAACACATACACCTTTTTTCATTATTTGTTGGTTCTGATGACATACTTCAGAGGTTCTCATATTTACAAAATAGACTGGTTAACTATCTCTTTCAGATTTTATGAAATATTTTGCCTATCCGTGAGATTTCTGTGTACAAAAGTGAACTAAGGTGCATACTATCAGATGAAAAATATGACTTGTAATAACATAATAAAGTATCATTAAGTTTATTTGAAAATGCTACCAGTAGTCTTTCAATGCGAAGGCTGGTGTTTGTTGGATGAAATTTGTTCATACACCAAACAGACATTTGCAGTATTACTCTGGAAAGAAAGGTGTTTATGAAAGCCTGAGTATATATTGTCAACACTGTTGCATCTAGATCTAAAGTGGTTTTGCAATGTTGAGCCTTTCAGCCATTGAGAGATTGGCATCTTGTCTCCGGTATACTATGTTCTTTTTACACTTACATGTTTCAGTGTTCTGCAAAAAAAAGAGCTGAGACCATAGGAAGGCCACTGGATGGTGGTCATTACAAGTAATTACAATTAAGTTCGAGGAGGAAGTATTTTGACATTTGAGGAAGACGTCACCTGTACTATAGCATTTTGGAGAAATACAAAAGCAAAATAATGACCCATGTAAATCTTGCGTGGAAAACCTTAACTGAGACAAACGTGAAAAATAACTGCCTGGATTTCATACCACAGTATAAATGTTGTATATTAAATTGCATTCGAATGGGTTACTCCCACAGATAAGGAAAATAACCCAGTAGGTAAAAGCAGTAGAATTGCTTCTTGCTGCTGCTCTTGTTTTTCTATATATAGTAAACTGTTATTAAGCCAGAGGACTGTAGGTATGAAAGCGTGATGCACTAAGCTATGTAAATGCAGCTTTTGTACAAGTGATATGTGACACTGTCTGCCCTTGGAGACTGCTTTACAGAGAGGGCGGTTAGCTGTGCTAGAACTCAGATGTTACACAATGGGATTTCTGGGGACTTCAGGAACTATTT